AGCTCATTGAGTGGTGTGGTAAGGTATGACATACCCCATGCGTATTATTTCTACATACTCACCAAATTGCAGAAACCGTAATTTTTTTTTTGATGATTAATTTTTAATAAGTTCTAAAAAGAAAACATAACAAATTCTCCTTCGTATACAATAAATAAGCAATTAATAAAAACACAATAGAAATTAATACAATAAATATATGTGACTACCCCATCACACCATTGAAGGGTTGAGGCATATATGACGGTATAGGTAATTGTAAAACGTACTTTATATGATATTTATGAGTACATATGTATATTTGTTATATATAAATGTGTGTAATGGCAAGCCGGCTGCATGTGTATTAATCAATTTAATAAAACATTATTAAGTCCCAATTGAGTAAAACTTGGCAAAAATTTCGCTCAAACCATTCAATTGAATTTTGTATGACGAAGAAGAGCCGCCTATTAAGATCCACTCAATTACTCAAATGAAAAACGTGGAAGTCCAAGAAGAATACGAGCAACTCATGCTCGTGCACAAACGTGTATATAAATATGGCCATATGTTCCCTGCGTGAAAAACAAAACCCGTCAGTAAAAATACCAGTTCATTAACTAGTATGAGCTAAACCGATGGCATACCAATTTTAAATAACTTATGCAATCTCAGACATCTACTTTTGAGTTTTTAGTCACGAATAAAACGCAATTAATTGCGTCTCTTACAAATGTCGGCTGTCGCCGGTTGGAGTCCGCTTATAGGTGGTTAAGATTTTTCAAATTAAATCAGTTGATGTTTATATAATTATATCAATTTAAATATAATTTACAAGTTTGCAAATCTAAATTCATTTGAGAAAAAACATATACTTGTATAGAAATACTTGTGCCTTAAAAATTTAATGAATTTAAAAATAATAGTTTTCTTTTTAAAAAATAAACTCAAAAATTGCAATTAAAAACCTACATAAATAAAAAAAATTTAAACTGCGACTGCTGCAGAGCTGCGAGGAAAATAGCATAATTATGCCTAACCCCTCAACTGGTATGATGCTACTAGTAATTCTACTGGTAGATCCTGATGCATAGACTGACAATTAACATCTCGAAGGATATCAACATTTCAAAAATACCAGTAGCTAACATTGAAAAAGGAGCGAACGTGAACTAGTTGGCATGAGCCGCAAACTGGTAACATTTTAGTTCACAACTACCAGCTTTCCCTGCAGGGTTTCTATGTACATTTGTGTGGCAGCAACTGCCCAAATCGAACAAAAAAAAAATAAAATAAAATGCAAACATGTGAAAAATCACTCGAGCACTTTTACAGTTGAGAGTTTCTGACTGATGAAGAATTCGTTATTTGTACCAATTATTGCAAATTTACAGTTTCAGTTGTAAGAACTTATTCAACGAATGCATAGCCGACCTATGGGGGTGTGAATATTTATGTACATAAGTGTATGGGAATGTGTAAAAATATATCACAAAAGTGTTCTATTTAATACGTAACAGTTGAGAAAAAGTGCAGTGAGACGTACGCTAAGAAATATATAATAAACTGCTAAAAACTGTGTCAATGGAAAAACAGACATGGAAATTTACATGAAAAATACATTTGAGGGAACTTACTAAGATATGCTTTGACAAAGAGAAAGAAAGTGAAAAAAAATAAAACTAAAATATGAAAACTAGATAAATTTGTTGTACGTGCCGAATGCGAAAAATTAAGAAGCTAATTCATATAACGACAATCTAGCCGTTGGCAAAAAGAGAAAAAAAGAAAAGAAGAAAGAAAAACGTATGACCACAGAATGATTATTTAAATTTATCTCGAATGAAATTACTTCACCACAGAGTGTGAAAGAACTAAATAACCAAGCACAAAACAAATAAATAACAATTCGTATTAAATAATTTCATGGCCTAAAAAGTGAGGTTTTAACAAAAAAAAAGAAGATATTAAGCACATAAACACTAAAGAAAAAAAAACTTTGCAACAGAACTACATACATACGTGACGTAGCAAGCAAGATTATATATAATATATGTGTATGTATGTAATTCAGCGGCACACAAACTTAAGAAATATCTTCAGTGCTCTCTCGTGCTCAACGTGGAGGAAATTGCAAGAGCATAGATCAGCAAAAATAAGAAAACTTTATATGTATCTAAACATATATACAGCCAAACAAGAGTTTACATACAGAAATTTTTACCAACGCAATCAGTGTGTAATATTTTAAAAATCTTGCATCATTTTTTGACGCTGTGCGAAATACGTCATTGTACTATTGCATATACCTTTACATCGCTGGAGTGTGCGAACAATCATACATTCATACATACATACATACCTACGCTACGTATACTCATAAACTCACTTTGACTTATAGAGATCTAAAGAAAATACCAAAATAAATATAAATACATAGATAAAAAAATAANACCTTTACATCGCTGGAGTGTGCGAACAATCATACATTCATACATACATATGTACATACCTACGCTACGTATACTTATAAACTCACTTTGACTTATCTAGAGAGATCTAAAGAAAATACCAAAATAGATATAAATACATAGATAAAAAAAATAGCTGCAAAGCGCCGCGCAAAGTGTGAAAAAGACTGTTCGAACCACATTCACATACTTCTGTGTATATCAAAAATTCTGTTCGCCAAGGCTTTTAGCATCAGTCAGTGCGCCACAGTACCTACTTGCCTACGAGCATTTCGTTTTTTGTTTTCGCGAAATTCACCGAATACTGCACCCACCCTGCCACTCGCCCACTAAGCCCACTTGCCGGTTGTTCGGCCTTGCTCATCCGCTTCGGTTGACAATTTTCCCGGCATCCGCTGTCACTTTTGCTGCTGCTGCTGCCTAGCACTAAAGCTAAATTATTCACAGCATCGGCATCCTAGTTTTTTTTTTCGTTTGTAATCTTCGGTTGCCCACTTCGTGCATTCTCACAGCTAACTGACTGTCAGTGAGCAGCATCTAACGTCTGTGATTCTTCGTCGGACTTCAAGCATCCGAATCATCATCATCATCATCATCACCATATCCCACAATAGCAGGCGCCAAATTCTCGAGTCTCATCGAGGCATAGTTGAACTTGCGGCTAAAATAGGCGAACAGTCTGCTGAAATCCGTCGTTGTCGTCGTTTGCTCGTAGTCGATATTTGCGGCGAAATAATTTGTAAAATTCGTTATCCGTCCATGCCATGCGCGATAAAATCACACAACTATTTTGCTTGCAAAAGAACGCATGCAAAAATAATACAACAGATAATAGAGGTGTGTGTTCAATAACGAATTTTCTATATACATATACTCTTTTTATATGTAGGTATATACGTGTACTGTATACTTTTTAAAAGATGCGTGTGCGTGTGTTTTTGGCCACCTATATACTCGCATTTCAATTTTTTCTATTGGTTAATTTATTCTAAAAATAAATTTAATGCGGCGATTTCCAACTAGAGAGGCGCAGATTTCAAAAAATGTTGGCNAAAAAAAAAAAAATGTTAAACGTAAGAGAAGAAATACGACAAAAACACTAAACAAAGCAAACCACAATAAATAGCAGAGAAAAAATCAAATGGTAAAAGTAATAAAAAAAAAAAAAAAAATATAAAACCAAAAATAAATAAAAAATAAAAAAAATAAACTAAAATAAAACAACATAAAATAAAAAAATTATTAGAATGAAATGAAACNGCGATAAAATCACACAACTATTTTGCTTGCAAAAGAACGCATGCAAAAATAATACAACAGATAATAGAGGTGTGTGTTCAATAACGAATTTGCTATATACATATGTATACTCTTTTTATATGTGTGTACATACCTACAATTTTATGCATTTATGTATTTTTTAAAAGATGCTTGTGCGTGTGTNTGCCATGCGCGATAAAATCACACAACTATTTTGCTTGCAAAAGAACGCATGCAAAAATAATACAACAGATAATAGAGGTGTGTGTTCAATAACGAATTTTCTATATACATATACTCTTTTTATATGTAGGTATATACGTGTACTGTATACTTTTTAAAAGATGCGTGTGCGTGTGTTTTTGGCCACCTATATACTCGCATTTCAATTTTTTCTATTGGTTAATTTATTCTAAAAATAAATTTAATGCGGCGATTTCCAACTAGAGAGGCGCAGATTTCAAAAAATGTTGGCGCATTTAATACAAAAAAAAAAAAATGTTAAACGTAAGAGAAGAAATACGACAAAAACACTAAACAAAGCAAACCACAATAAATAGCAGAGAAAAAATCAAATGGTAAAAGTAATAACAAAAAAAAAAAAAATATAAAACCAAAAATAAATAAAAAATAAAAAAAATAAACTAAAATAAAATAAAACAACATAAAATAAAAAAATTATTAGAATTAAATGAAAAAAAAACTAAATTAAAATAAAATAAAGTGAAAAATACAACAAATAAAATAAAATAAAAAAAGTAAATTAAAATTAAATAAAAGAGAACCACATGCAAAATTAAAACGCAATAAAGTAAAATAAAAAAACTAACATTAATTATGGAAAATTAATTAAAGCATTATAAAATAAAATGACATAAACCTGAACCCAATAACTAAGGAAATTTAAAAAAAAAATTAAGTTAAATTGAATAAAATTAAAAAAAAAAAAATAAAAATAAAAATAAAAAAAAATTAAATTGGTAAATGAAAATATGTAAATAATAAAAAAAAATTAAAAAAAACATTAAAAAAAAATGTACATGCCTAAAATTTCATTACCAAAAAAATATACATGCCTAAATACCTGAAATATCAACTTAAAACTAAGACTTAGAATAAAAATATTAGATTTCCTATAGATACTTTGCAATACTCATACATACTCTGTTGAAATCTTACTAATTGTGACTCTTTTCTATTATCTCTTTCATTTATTTCAATTTCGCGTTATTCGCGTATTGTGAAAAAATAATGTTAAAAAATTACGNAAAAATTACTCAAAAAAAGGACATAATGTGCCAATTAAAGTCACGAGCAACGGGACAACGGATACCAATGGGTCTCTTGGGGCAGAAGGGCCTGAAACAGAGACCGACTCATCAGGGACCGGGGGGATGCGGAAGTCGTTGGAGAGGAAGGGCTCAGCGCCGAACGACGCTATTCACCTCCAGAGACGGGTGGGACTCTTCAGTGGGGTGGCTTTAATTGTCGGGACCATGATAGGTAAGTGAGAATTTATTTTAATTAAANTCAAAAAAAGGACATAATGTGCCAATTAAAGTCACGAGCAACGGGACAACGGATACCAATGGGTCTCTTGGGGCAGAAGGGCCTGAAACAGAGACCGACTCATCAGGGACCGGGGGGATGCGGAAGTCGTTGGAGAGGAAGGGCTCAGCGCCGAACGACGCTATTCACCTCCAGAGACGGGTGGGACTCTTCAGTGGGGTGGCTTTAATTGTCGGGACCATGATAGGTAAGTGAGAATTTATTTTAATTAAATTATTTTATGTAAAATATTTTATATGCAAATAGTACATACATATACCGTTATCATAAGATCAATTCGATTATATGCTTTGCTGGTTTGGTGGCATGGCTTAAATAAACAATATATTGTGATAAACTAACAAGCATATAAAGGGCAGCACGCGATGGAGCGAGGATTGCACAAGATCCTACCCGAGTGAAGCGCTAAACCACTGTTGCCAACTTAGTGCTTTTCGCACTAAATTTAGTGCTTTTCTTAATTCAAGACGCGAAAATTTTTGAGTTTGATGCTTTTACGTTTTTGGAGCTTTTGTTGAAGACACCAAAATTTAATTTAAATTTAGAGCAATTGGAAGTTTCGTAAGGAACTTTACAAAAATGGAAACAAAATCATGGTACTATGACAATCATAAGCGAAAGAGCATATGTTTTCAAAAAAAAATATGTGGCAGCACTTTCAATCATGCCAGAGTTACATACGGTATTTTTCCATTTCCTGCAAAAACTTCCATGTTGCTGGGACCAGAAATTGATCTTTGGACCTTTAATTTGGGCTGAATTTGTTATATTTTTTACGCATATTAAAAAAAGCACCAGCATCTCCTAACAGTAAAATGAATAACAAACCTTCGAACGGCGAGCAAGAAATATTAATTTGTTTATTATTTTGAATCGGCAAATCTACAATAAAATTTTTCATGCAAACAAAGTCTTCTAATAAAAAATTTGGTGCTTTTTTAGAGAAAAAAAAAACGATTTTTCTTGGCTTTTTCAAATTCAAAACTTGGCAACACTGCGCTAAACGCTATGCTCAACCTAATCTCTATCGATCTGCACCTGAAAGAAGAGAATCAAGTCAATGAGAGACTAAAAATTTCGGATATGGGTTGATGATTGCCGAAATGCAGTTAGGAAAGACGACAGATATACATATAGCAAATGTTGACTTCAATTGTAATACACACGAACGATTCCCATCAAAAAGAGAAGAGATTGCAGAAGAGACCGAGTAGCCGAAGAAAAGCTATCTTTCTCTACACCGACGGATCCAAAATGAATGGGTTGTAGGTGCCAGTATCTACTCTCAGTAACTCTCAGCTTCTCCCAAGCGTAACTTCAAGGTATCCTTGAAACCTGTAAAACCTTAAATATGCAATAACGGTCAGCTTAACAAATATAAACTGCTTAAGGAATGTAAAATGAAATTGCACTCAAAGTAGTAAATTGACACTTACTCATCTTCATCGCGGCAGCTTCTGCAGAAACTACTTGTTGGTATTTGCCATCGTTGGAGCATTGGTGCTCTAGCACAGTGGCCGGTGAAGACGTCGTCAAGGCCTCTTACTGCAGACCTATTGAGTTTAACTACATCCCTCGTATTTTTCATACTAAGCCGCGTCCATAGCACTCTTGTGATCTCACAGTCTCCCGTTTGTTACACAAAACATTAGTCGCGGCCACGGTGTGCGCAGTTATCCAAATGTGATCATTAAACGGTGATAGTACGGAGCTATCCGCTTCTTCTGTTGGCATCTCTGAGCCGCATCTGGTCATCTCATCAACCGACTCATATCCCTGCAATATTGCTATGTCCGGGGACCCAGCATAGAGTGACGTTGAAATGGCAACACTTTATATGTACATATGTATATTAGAGTTCATACAAAAAAATCTGTAATATTTTAATCATTGAAAGTATAACATTTATTATGTTTTAAGACTTCCCCCAAAATTGTTCCAAAAATATTAAGATTTACATTAGCTGAACCTATTTGAAAGTAGCTCCGAAAATCTCTTTTTTTTAAATAAACAAAATGGGTTTATAAAAATATGTACCTTAAGTTACCTTAAGCAGAAAAGCAAAGGCATCTGGCTCAAGTTCGATTTTGTATCTTGAAGTTGAATTCCATTGAATTACTCACAACAAAAGTTGTTATTTATCAACATTTTTAGTGGTGCTTCTATGAGTAGGTATATTAGAACGTACGAGGAAAAAATTGGCCGTGCACCCCTAAGTCAAAAATGCTTTTGCAAGGCACTTTTTTATTTTATTTTTTCGGCTGTCGTCATTATGAGTCGTAAATTTTGAAATTTTTGTATAGAAAATGATAGGAAATTTTATGATTTTAGATTCGTACGAAAATAGGGGATCGAGAAGACAGTTTTTTTTGTCCCAAACTTCATTGGCCGCACGTACTCAGTTGTAGTACTTACCCACTAGATCTCAATTCTTATCACCTTAACTTACCTCAATGTTAAAAATACTTTTATTTTACATTTCGAAACATTTAAATTTACATATATTTGCTAAGACAAAAGCTAAAACAAATAGCGTAAAATTAGGACATGAAATGTTGAAGACATAAAAAAATAATATGAAAATAAGAGAAAGAAAATCGTAGAAACGAAAGCTGCAATAAAAAACAGAAAATCACATACGCAAAATCAGTATCCATACTAAAAATGTTTTATACTTTTTCATGCGTAGGTGTTTTGGCAAGCTAAGCAAAAAAAAATTAGTCAATCCCATGACTTTGCCTAAAATTTTAGAAAATTTCGATACTAAAAAAACATATACTCATTCATAATATAGTACTGATTAGAAAAATGGGTGTGTCAAGTAAATACATACATATATACATAACTTCATATTTACATCTAATTTTAAAGGCAGCTGTACTAAGAAGTATATACCCAGGCAGTCATGTGGGCAAATATTATTCCTTATATAAAATAACATAAGGGTGGTCCAAAAATGCCGAAATTTTTATGCTCTCACCCCATAGTATTGTTCTATACCAAAAAAAATATACCCTTATTTTTTTATTTTGAAATCAAAAAATATTTAGAGGTCGCTCAAAGCGCCCAAAGTTTTCTATGTATTTTATATGGGAAAAAACAACTTTTCGTAGAAATGGTATAGAATAGTTAAAAATCAATATTTTTCTACCAGAAAACTCTATTTATCTGCAGGAGATTCCCAGTAATAATACCCAGTTGTTTATTTAACCATTTTTTCATTGCAACTATAATTTATAGGTCCGCCAAAAACGCCGAAAAATGCAATGGGGGAAAAATAAAAAATCGTTAATATTAAAACAATGGTTAAATAAACAATTGGGTATTATTATTGAAAGTCTCCTGAAGAGAACCCGAGTTCTCCGATCGAAAAATATTGACTTTCAAGAATTCTTTGCCATTTCTACCAAATAATTTATTTTTCCGCTATAAAAATACATGGAAAACTTTGAGCGCTGTGAGCGACCTCTAAATATTTTTTGATTTCAAAATAAAAAAATGGGGGTATACTTTTTTCGATATAGAACAATCCTAGGGGGTGAGAGCATTACAATTCCGACTTCACTGTTTTTGGGCCACCCTAATGTACATACATATGTACTTAGTTTAAAGTGCATATGTAAGTATACAAATACATAGTACTTTTCGGCGTGCGTGCATTTTGTCACGCCAATTTAGTGCAGTAAACAGCACACCTTAAAAAAAATTAAACTTTTTTGTTGTACGTTGTATATTTTTTCAAGAACACATGGACCAAATTGAAGATTATCATGACCCTGCTCTCAGTCGATTGCCTCCATAAAATGCTTTATATTTATTTTGTTTTGTATTTATTTCTGAGTTTCTTCATCATATTTATATCGTCACATATTTTATTTTGAGCATGTTTTTTTTTTTTTTTAAATAAATTTACCATTGTTTATGGATGTAGCACTAAAAATGTTAGAGAACCAATGACAATTCATTTGGTGTCAAGAGCGGTTGGCTGGCGCCAAAATATTTATCCACTACGTACTTGTAAAGGTTTTGAATAATAATATTTTGGCGCTTAAGCCTTGTTTTCACTATGTCAAATTCAATGACATTTGTCGTCAAATAAATGAAAACACATTGTCAAATGGGATGCAGTCGTGTACATGCCCTGCTATACCAGCTATGTGTCCGGTTTTGGCCCATAATATTATCAGCGAAGGTGCGGATGAAAGAAATAAACTTGAGTCCAAATATGTCGGCAAATCTTGACCTCAAAATAGGACATAGTGAAGCCTTTACACTTCTGCCAAGTCTTTCGTCGTGTAATAAATTGGAGCCTCCTACAGTTTTACGCCGCCTCGGAACGGCAATTGGCGATTGGTTTTTATGAGAAGCTTTTTCTTGGCTGAAATACATTCCGAGGTTTGCCGCAGAGGCCGGTAGGTCCTTAGCGTTGTAAGTTTGAGTTCGATTTGAGGCGGTAAAGTAAACATCACAAAATATGTAAACTTTTTTTTTGCGAATTTCGAGTAGTAATATCAGCTCTACTTTACAGTTTTGGTTAACTCTATATTATTTTTAAGTTTTTACACGCCTTGAGTTGAAAACTACCCTGTGACACTGATGGAAGGTTAAATCCCTCTTGATCTCTGTAGAAAGCGAAGATTAGCTTTTAACCTGCGTTACAATCCTCTAATTCCGCCCAAAGGGTTACGTTCTCTGTACAAATTAGAAAGGTGAGAGTGACTGGCAAATGTTTTTCGGAGTGTCGACTTAGGGCGGCCTAGATCGTTCAAAATACTCTATAAGCACCGTTTTACAATTACTTAATAAAACGCATTTTTTGTTTTGTTTTCAAGAAATATTAACACGCGGTTGAACTCGATTATGAAAATAAATACGTATGTATGTTTGTACAAATCGCTCATTTACTTCAATAGTGTCATTACCCAAAAATTACAAATATTGAGTTAAGTACGCAGAAATTACCGGTACTTCTTCTTCTATGTTGTGTACAAATTTCATAGATATATCGGTTACTAGTAGCTCACTGGAATAAAATATGTATTCATATTTACTATGGGAGTATATCGAGGGCTTATATTCAGTGTGACCAGATGACCATAAAAGGCAAGGCAAAATTAGTTTTGAGAAAAGGTTAGAAAACGTAATAACCTGCGAAGGATGAAGTCAAAAAGAAGTCAGCATATTCATTCATTTAAAAGTCGATTTTATTCCAATAAATTTTTAAATCATTCCCATCAGAATAGAGAATAACATCTTTCAGGTTAATAACAGCTGCATACATTACTTCAAGGTTTGCGAAATGGAGTTCAGTTTAGGATATGAAAAACCAAACAAATTTTCGAGTAGAAATATGATTTTTTTCTACATTAGAGTGCACTAGTAATATGCCAACAAATCAATTGTTTCAAAAATACAGTTTAAGGCAAATTTCGTAGTATTATTTTGTTTTTATCCTAAGAAAGTATGTTCTCAAGGAAATGGTACTTTTCTCTGTTATTGCAAAATTTGGACGGTAAACAGTAGTTTTTGAAATATTAAGTATTTTTAATATACTAATTATTTGTATGAGTCCCGGTCCGAATTTTACTATGAATATTTTAAGTAAAATAGCCACGAAGTCAGACCGAAAATTCTGAGGCTATGGCTTAAAATTAAATGCTAAATCTAGCCTGGTCACTCTACTTATATTTATTAAGACCTATCTGCAGTTTATACAAAAACTACTTTCTGATGTTAGAACTCATCTGAGACTTAACTGTAATCACTGGTTGCACTTTTAATTTTGAAATTCAATAGTCAATTCCTCTGACATGCAATGTACAAGGTCAAAATTAACATCTCCGATGACAGTTAAGTCTAAGGTAAATTTTTATGCAGGAATATTAATTTTGTAAAAACTGCAGATAGGTCATACTGAATATAAGCCCTCGATACATAAATTCAAAATTCTATAGCCGTTTTTCTCGAGTTTTTTTTGAGTTGTGACACTATTGAAATAAAGGAGCGACATGTAGGTTGGTAAACAATTTTTTATTAAGTATTTACATTCTCCGCTTTCTGCTTATTTATATGGCACACTCGAATTGCGTGTCAGGTAATGGGCTATAAGTGGCGCCAAAGGAGGAATAAATCTGAATATATAATGGAATGTAAAAGTGAAATACATAAATAATATACATGCAATCACATACACTTACATACATATTGTATGCATGTATAGATACTTGCATGTATGTACATATGTGGAAACAATTTTAATCCAGATTCACTGAAGCAACCGAAATGAATATGAGCAAATTTAACGAGTTGTTACATTTTTCGACAAAAAAGCTTTTTTTGGTCTAAAATGGTGGTTCACCTGTCTTAGAAAATGCATTATCTTCTGTATAAAGAACAAGATTCTATCGCGAAATTGTATTTAAATCAAAACATAAAAAAGATATATCTACTAAAAAAAAGTAAAAATAACCACTCATGCTCATATACCCGTAGTTGCGTATGTAACGTATACGCGCCGTAGCACCATAACAGTCATCTAATACATACGTTTACTCGCACGCCTTAACTTAAAAGCCGTATTTTTTAAAAGTAATTAAATATTTCAAGTTCACCAATTAAAATTGTAAAAATGGAATTTTAGTTTCTCAAATCATAGCCATCAACGTAATTTTTTTTTTTTTTAATTTTTTTGCATGTTGCCACTTTTTTTTTAATTTCGTGGTGCATTCTTGAAATTTCGCAGATATGTTGTATTTGATGCCAATGTCCATTGCCTCCAATATGAATATTTGTTTTGAAAACTTCCCAAAGTTATTAAAAACAAAAACAAATATAAAATTTTCGAGTGACAATGAAAAAATGAGTAATTTCGGTACCTTTTCACTTAAATAAACGTTTTAAGGCAAATACTTTATTAATTTCTTTTAAATTGTTTCTGGAACTCCATTGACTGAAATAAATGCAAGAAGAATGCTTCAGCGCTTTTTTTTCTGCCGAAAGAAGGGAGTGACACCAAAAAAACAACTCGTGAGATTTGCTCATATGCACATATGTTATAGTGTTTGTGCACTCTTACACTTTTGTGGGCAATTTGTAGGAATATACATACATACATACGGGTATGTATATAGTTTTAACAGTAACCCAGAATCTCAAGGCATCCATTTTAGTTTAAGGTCGAAAGTGAAATGATGTTTTGAGGTGCATTTTCCAAGGACGCCTCGACCGAAAGAAGTTCACGTTGAGTGTATTTTTGTTTTTTTTTTGCAAATGGTGCTTCTTGTTCTATTTACGCGAATAATACGTCTGACTAAGTAGATCAGTAGTAGTATTTGTTTGCCAACAAACGTTGATAATAATAATAATAATACGTTTGTCAGAAAATTTGAAAAACTATTTCTTAGCACATGACAATCATATGGGCAAGGGCGAATTCACCTTAGTTTTTTTTAACAAATTATAACAAATATTTGCTCCAGATTTTGCTGAAAGGTAAATAAGAGCTTTGTGTACATTTTTAGCGCATAACCTCAAAAATTTCAAATTTTGAGTTGTGTTGTGTTGCCTAAAGCTTGTTACCAGTACACGGTATGTTGTCATGGTGCGATTTTGGAAACACGTGTTCATTTTGGCGAGTAGAAGGTTTACACCTAGTAGGTTAGGACATGAAAAGGGTTGCCACCTGTAAAAAATTTATTAACTTAAAAGGCTTTATTTCTAAGCTACAAGTAAGGGGTTGCCATCTATTTAAAAAATCAAATTAAAATATATGTATTAATATGTACATATGTATCACATTATGGATATAAGACGAAAGAGGTTTAAGAAGATTGTAGTTTGAAAATATTTTTCCGAAGATTCCGAGGAGGAGGAAGTCATAGGAAATATTAAAATATGGGTGTCAAACGAAAAAGTGTTAGTGAATCTTTAGTCTGAACATTTCGAATATTTTAGTTTGGCGTTTGAAGAGGATTGAAAATATTTTGAATGGAGTTAAAAAATAAAAATGTGAAAAGTGGTGCATTAAAAAACGCGTTAGTAAAAAAGATAACAAGTTCGTTTCGATTTGGAAATTTTCAAATGTAAAATGTTAGGTCACTTTTGCTTCATTTAATAATTCATATCCTCATTTTAATTATTGTATGCATTTACATACTTAGGGCAGTGATCAGATAAATGTTACCAACACCACTTTTGTTAGAATATTAGCAAGCAAAAATACTAAAAAATTAAATATACCAAACGCCAAATGCCATCAAATATACGATTTAGCTATAAAAAATGGTTAGAGTTAGCAAAAACTCTCAAATAAAGGTCTTTGTGCGACATGGCGTATGAGTAATAAATTTTTTATTCCTGTTTAAAAAGTGTCAATTCACAAACAAATTTATTGAAAATTGTAAAAAAGTAAAAGGACACTTAAATTGGACTGGGTATTTCCTTATTCACATGTTTCTTAGCAGTTCACTCCCGGATTTCAATCTCGCGTTATTTCCGGGCCTCTTCAAAGCGCCCATGTCTTTTTAATTCCGTTTATATACCGTTACCTGTTGAGATGCGAAAGTAGAAAAGGGGTCCAATATTCTTTGTAATTTTCTTATTTAACCCTAATGGTGTTCCTGAACTTTGCCCTATGGCAGAGCGCTCTCCACATCTTTAAAAATGCCGTAAATAGCCAAACGAAACAGAGCATCTAACGGGGTCTCGAAATATTCCTTCATGATACCACTGCATTCAGAAACGTTTAAATTTTCATTAATGAACACCACTTCACTAAAACTAAAGTAGAAAATTTGCCGAAACTACTGCAAATGCACTAATTTTTAAGAAGCTTTCCTTTATCTGAATATTATAGTATGTATGAAATTATGTATATGTATTGCAATACCTGTCGTTTATATGTATGTACTTATGTAAAAACATTTTTCTGTGTTTGCATTACTCATTAACAATTACAAAATTTTTAACTTTCAGGGTCTGGAATATTTGTGTCACCTTCAGGTCTACTAGTTCGTACTGGTTCCGTTGGTGTTAGCTTTATTATATGGCTGGCCTGTGGTTTGCTCTCCTTGTTGGGTAAGTATTCCACCTAATTTTTAAAACTATAGGCAAAAACAACAAATTTTGTCTCTATAGTTTATTATTTAGCCCTTATAAAATGTCTAAAGTTCGAAAAATTGAATAACTTTTTAAGAGGAAAAGTATGAAATAAAAGTGCGACCTATGCAATACGAGGACCTTACAATAAAAGGACCTTATTTCGATATAAAAGATCAGAATGTGGATTATAAAAAAAAGAGTAAGGCCAATGTGAAATTTTTGGTTCAAAACGCCATGAATTTACATGTGGTTATTTCGTCGGCTAAGCGAAGAGTCGCATCGTAGTTACCCGAAGCAACGTGAATAGAAGATAGGGATGAAAATTTGCAGATTACATCATGCTACAAAATATAACTATTTTGTGTTACGCAATGAGGAAATCGATATTTGCGCGAAACCGAGTTCAAATATAATAAATTTGCGTTTTTTTTCACATGAAGTCTGATTTTTTGTAAAGGACCATCAAGTTTCAACAAGAATAGTGTTTACAAAAAAATCTTATAAATCTAAAATTATACAAAAATGTCCTCTAAAGTTTAAAGTTTACAGAAATATATTTAGTATTATGTAAATTGTTATACGCACTAAACCAATCCAAATTGCATTCCTCTGCCTTCATGCTCCAGAACATATGTATAGGGGTTAAGGACCATCGCTGTTAGTATCAGTGTGCTTTATACTTTTTTAATTGATTTTTTTTTTGTTAACACATGAGAAAATCAATATATGCGCAAAACTACAGCAAATATAGCAAATCTGTGTTTTAGTTTTTTCAAGGGACTACACGATGTTTTTAAGGGACTACATTTAAAGTTTCAATAAGGAGAGTGGTTTAAAAAAAAAGGTAATAACGTCCAGAAATATGGGTATAAAACGAATTTTTTTTGTAATTAATCTTTGGTAGAACACCTCAGAAATTTCTTTTAAAGTTTTTATCCTTGAATATTCTTGAAAATTTTTATTCAAATATATATT